TTCATAGTCTTGGAGTCCGGCCGATGATGATAGTTCGGCTATCCGGACACCCCCTAGTCCGGAACTCCCTCACCAAGTATAGTGAGAGTAATCATCCAAGATCACAAGATAATATTTATAACCAGAAACACTAGGGACTGGAGAGGTTCATAAATCACAGTGAAGTAACTCAAAAGGAAAAGTACTAATGGTAGTTGAGGTTTCAAAAGGTAATCTAACATGTTTGCCGCATTGACATGCATTACAGAGAGAGGGATTATGAGGACTACTAGAACTAGGGATACAAAATTCTTGGAGTAAAGACGTCAAAGTGTTTTTGTTGGGGTGACCGAGACGACGATGACATAGATCAACTGATGCAAGCATGGCATGAGGGGTGGATGTGGGCGCGCCATGAAGAGGATAAAGATCGCCTATGCTATTGTACCGAGCGAGGACCTCCCCCGTTGTCAGATCCTACACAAACAAACCAAAAGGGTCAAAGGCCAGGATAACTTTGTTGTCAATGCAAAATTGTCAAACAGAAATAAGATTTTTGATGATGGAAGGAACAACAAGAATATTGCGTAGAAGAAAATAGGCATGAGAGGAAGGGATGTAAGAGTGACCGGTGCATGAAACAGGGATGGTGGAGCCATCGCCAATGGTGATCGTGGAAAAAGAAGAAGGAAAACAAGCTGACAATAAATTCATATTTGAAGACATATGCAATGATGCACCAGAATCAAAAATCCAATATGTACCTACGTTGTTGAGGATAAAATTGTTCATGGCGTTGATGAAGGTGGCTTGGTCCCAAGCCGGCTATTGGGGAGGAGCAGAGGGGCCAGGAGCTTGCATGTTGATGTTGGGGATAGCTGACGGGTAGTATGCGTACGGGGCCTGCATGTTTCCATAGGAGGCCGGCATGGTGTTTTAGGGTGACAGCGGTCCTGGCGTGTTGGGAGGCGGAGTAGGAGTGGTGGTGTAGACGTGCGCCGGCGGTCTGGGTCCAAGGAGTCCAGGAGAGCCGGTGGCTGGACGAAGACCGGGGCTCCACGTGCCCGTGTACGCAGGAGGGGCACCATACGGCGAAGGGTCCGACCATGGCATCGACCAAGCCTGTACGAGGCCAGTCCATGGATCATGCTGAGGAGGCCATGGTGACGGAGCTGGTGGTGCTGGAGCGGTAGATGACGAGGCCAGTGCACGTCCAGCAGGACGAGATGCAGGAGGCCGGTAGATGGGATTCTTTCCCTTGTAGTTGGGGCTCGGGCACCAGCCTGGGGGCGGTGTTGAGGCCGCAGCAGCCGCAGCAGGTGTTGGAGGGGCGGCCGGTTGCCGCGGCAGCCTAGGCGTGTGAGCTGCAGAAGAGGGAGCGGCGGCATGAAACACCTGCGGCGCCCGTTGCGCCTTGCGAGCCTGGTTCTTCTCTTCTTGCTGGAGGATCGAGCGGACCTCCTTGAAGGTGGGGTACGGCTTGAGCGTGGGGATGAAGGACTGCTGCTTCTCGAATTGAACGCCAAGACCTTGGAGGAGCAATGGGCATTGCACCCTAGGAGATGGCGAGCGGATCAACTTCTGGTGTGACCGTTGGCTTAATGGACGGAGCATTGAGCAAATTGCGCCTAGCCTCATGACCTTCATCAAACCGTCAGATCAGCGCATGTCTCCGCCAGCGTGCTCACCAACCAGGCCTGGCTGCACTCCATCAGGGGCGTGCTCTCGGTTCCGGCCATTGTGGAGTTCTTCGACCTCTGGGCAATGCTTAACCATATCCAGCTCTCCTCATCTCCGGACTCTTTCTCATGGAAGCTGGCTGCCAGGGGAATGTACTCCTCCTGTGACTCCTATCAGGTCTTCTTCCTTGGCCGTGAATTCGCACCGTGCGCGGAGGAGATCTGGAGATCATGGGCTCCCCTTGAGGTGAAGATCTTCACCTAGCTTGCTGTCAAGAAACGGCTCTGGACCGCGGACCGATTGGCACGTTGCGTACTCCCGCACACCGTGTAATGCCAGCTATGTTGCTAGTGCGATGAGGACACCACCCACATGCTATTGGGTTGCCCCTTCTCGCGTGAAGTTTGGTACCACTCCCTCCTTCCGTTGCGCCTTCACCACTTCACCCCGACCGGTGATCAGGATCTCCAAGATTGGTGGCCGGCCGACGCGGCCGCAGCAAGTTCAAACCGGAAGGAGGTCAACACAGTCATTGCAGCCACGCTTCGCTTCATCTAGCTAGAGAGGAACAGTAGGGGTTTTGACCTCCAGGCCTCATCGGCAGCTAATGTAATATCTAGGCTTAAAGCAGAGCTGGATCTTTGGAAATCAGCTAGGGTAGACCGTGGGCATTCGTTCCAAGTGCACTAAACCATTGATGTAAGTGAGTGAGTGAGGTGGATCCTGCTCTTCGGAGCACAACTTCTCTGTAACTTTTTCCCTCCAATCTTAATAGAGAAGACATGCAATGCTCTTGCATGTTCTTGAAAAAAAGACCTTGGAGGAGGGCGTTGATGAGAGTATGATCCTCGACATGATCACCAAGTTCACGGAGTTCATCACCGATAGCCTTGATTCGCTGGCAGAAGATGGAGACTGGGACATCTTCATGCATGGTTGTGCGTAGCTCAGTGTTGAGTGCGTTGATTCGCGTGTCGGAGTTGTCCTGAAACAGCTGTTGAAGGGAGGCCGAGAGATCGGCGATGATGGCGTCATCATCGGAGACCAGATTGAAAAGCTCCGTGGAGATGCGTGTGTAAATCCAGTGGATGATGGTGAGATTATCTTTCACACAGCAAGGATCAGCGGGCTGCGGCAGGTAGGAGGGATCAATGTGGTGGCGTAGGCCGCAGCGCCCAAGATGGATGATGAAGAGGTGGTGCCAATGGTAGTAGTTGTGGATGCCAAGGTCTAAAGAGATCGTTATGAAGGGAGAGACGTCGACAATGGTGTCGGCTAGGGAGAACATTGGGTTTGGAGGGGGGTGTTTGGGTAGTTGTAGAGGAGGAGGTAGAGGGCGGGGCACCGGCGGCGCGGAACTCGGCCATGGAGAAGAGGGGCGGCGGCACGGGTGGCGGTGCCATACGAGGTGCGGAAAACCTAGGCGTCGGATACCATGATAGTTTGAGATATTGGAGAATAATTGTTGTATTGATTGGGGGCTCAAGGGCTGTTTATATAGATTACAAAGTTTGGGCTCCAAGACTAGACTAATAGAGGTAGATTACAATACGAATAGTCTTATACTCTAATAGTCGTCGATGTCGGCTTGGTGGATCTCGCCGTGAATTCCTCCTACACTTGGCAGAGCATTATGCAAGGGGTGAATACCCTGAAACATGGATACATTTGGAGAGTAGGGGATGGTGAAAAAATAAATATTTGGAGGGATGCGTGGATTCCTAACTCACCATCCAGAATGATTATTACCCCAAGGGGTAACCAGTTACTATCAAAGGTGAGTGATTTAATTGATCCAGCTACACGTCAGTGGGATGTGCCACTTGTGGAGCAAACCTTCTAGCCGATTGATGTGGAACGGGTCCTTTCTTTACCACTACCCACACATGATATGAGTGATTTTGTAGCATGGAGTTTGAATAAACATGGAATTTTTACAGTGAAATCAGCCTACCATGCTCTATGGTACTACCAGCATGGCCGTAAATCGGAGAGGACAGATGGTTTGGGCGCCACTAGTGCTAACCCAACATGGCAAAAGGTTTGGAAACTGAATTGCCCGGCAAAAGTTAAAAATTTTCTTTGGAGAACCTTACATGGAACGCTGCCATGCAATGTGGTTCTTGCTAATAGACACATCCCAGTCCGGCCGACGTGTCCTGCATGTAAGCAAGGAGCAGAAGATGTGTTTCATGTACTCTTTCGATGCCATAAGGCCAGAGAGGTTTGGCGGCAGTTGGGGCTAGAGGATGTTATACGCCATGCATGTGGGGTAGATCGAGCAGGGGAGGAGATTCTATCATACTTAATTAATCTACCAGCACAAGAAGCGGCCGTGCTGGGAGTGAAAAACTTCCATGACTTGATGTCCACTTGCTGCTGGTACCTATGGTGGTAGAGGAGAAAGCTTGTGCACAATGAGCCGGTGCAAGATGCGAAGAGAGTTGCGCAAGCAGTATGTGCTTTAGCAGCTAACTATGATATTGCATGTGATCCAAAGGCCGCGTTAAAGAGGGAAGGTTGGTGCAAACCCCCTAGTGGATATGTCAAGTTAAATGTTGATGCGGCCTTTGATTGGGATTTGCTTCAGGGGGCGATGGGAGCGGTCATCCGAGATGATAGAGGACATATGGTTGGAGCTGAAAACAAGCTCATTGATTCCTGTTATGATGTACTAACTGCTGAGGCAATGGCTCTGAAGTTTGGGTTGAATATGGCGCTCACAGCTGAGTGCAATAGACTGATTGTCAACTCGGATAATGTGAAACTCATGGAAATAATGAATAAGGATGCCAATATGATGGAGATGCCGCGGCCATTGTTGATGATTGTTATCACCTGGCTTGTGAATTTAGCTCTATTGTCTTTGAATTTTGCCCCAGAGAGTCAAACGTGATTGCACATGAACTAGCTAAGATTGCTAGAAGTTCGCTTTGTAATGAGTGGTTAGATAATGCTCCTTCTGAGCTTCTTCCCCTACTACTTAAAGATGTAAGCTTGATCATGAATGAATAAAGAGGAAGTAAAGTTGTAAAAACAAAAGAGGCTCTCCGGCAGTTCAACCGAATGCAGGTACACTAGAGGTGTTTTGCATCGAATTTCAACAGAGATCAACACCTTTTGCTGGGAATTTTTGCTAATCAAACCGGAAACACAAAACTTGGGCGAAAGTGACTCCAGATACCAAATGTCACGATCGTAATGTCCTAGCAACACACTAGGCGGTGGACTTGCCCGTGTCAGTAGTTCCGTACGAGTACTGTGCAGTGCTAGCGCACACTGAAACTCACACTTCTGCAGGCGTACGTGTAGCCACTGGTCCCGCACCCTGTTTCCTCGCGATGCGCCATCCGACTATATCCACGAGCCGGTCGAGCCCCACTGTCTCCCACTCACTGATGAATGGGACTCGTAGTAAGCCGTTCGTTGTGAGAGTTACAGCAGGAACGGCACCACTCGTTCGTTGCTCGCCTCCGCTTCTGCCTCCGATTCCCACCCATCGCGCCACCAGTCCATCACCACTCCCAGAAAACCCTCCACCTCGCTCGGGCGTTGGTGCTCGCCCGATGATCACGTTCGCGGACCTGACGGAGCCGGCGCCGGGCGCCGAGCGGCGCGTTGACCGGCAGCTGTGGCTGGCGTGCGCGGGCGGCATGTGCACCGTGCCGCCGGTGGGCTGCACCGTCTACTACTTCCCGCAAGGCCACGCCGAGCACGCGCTTGGCCTCGACGCCGGGGCCGATCTCTCCGCGGCGCGCGTCCCAGCGCTCGTGCCCTGCCGCGTCGCCGCCGTGCGGTACGTGGCCGACACGGACACCGACGAGGTCTTCGCCAGGATCCGCCTCGCCCCACTTGGCGCCACGGACGCGGATGGCGATATCCATGACGATGCCGCGGCGGCGGCTGATGACGAGCAGGAGAAGCCGGCGTCGTTCTCAAAGACTCTGACGCAGTCCGACGCCAACAACGGCGGGGGTTTCTCGGTGCCGAGGTACTGCGCTGAGACCATCTTCCCGCGGCTGGACTACGCCGCCGACCCGCCCGTGCAGACCGTCATCGCCAAGGACGTGCACGGGACTGCGTGGAAGTTCCGCCACATCTACCGGGGCACCCCGCGGCGGCATCTGCTCACCACGGGCTGGAGCGCGTTCGTGAACCAGAAGAAGCTCGTGGCCGGCGACTCCATCGTGTTCCTGCGCGGCGACGGCGGGGACCTCCACGTGGGCATCCGGCGCGCCAAGCGTGGGTTCTGCGGTGCCGAGGAGGGATCCTTGTCTTTGACCGGTTGGGGCCGCTATTCGGGTCCGATGCGAGGCAATGCGAGCCCGTGCACCCGGGGCAAGGTGCGCGCTGAGGACGTGGTCGAGGCGGCAAGGCTGGCGGGCAGTGGACAGCCGTTCGAGGTCGTGTACTTCCCACGCGCCAGCACACCGGAGTTCTGCGTGCGCGCCGCAGCAGTGCGAGCGGCGATGCGGGTTCAGTGGTGCCCCGGGATGCGGTTCAAGATGGCATTCGAGACCGAGGATTCGTCCCGCATCAGCTGGTTCATGGGCACCGTCGCCGGCGTCCAGGTCGCCCACCCCACCCGCTGGCCGCAGTCGCCGTGGAGGCTTCTTCAGGCACGGCACTACACCCCCGCCAACAAATCATACAGTTGCTTTTCTGTACAGGTTTCGCTCACTTGTCAATTTGGTAACTACGCAGGTGACGTGGGACGAGCCGGACCTCCTCCAGAATGTGAAGCGGGTCAGCCCGTGGCTGGTCGAGATCGTGTCGAGCATGCCGGCTATGCACCTCGCCTCCTTCTCGCCGCCGCGCAAGAAGTCCCGTATTCCGGCTTACCCGGAGTTCCCCTTCGAGGGTCAGCTCCTAAACCCGTCGTTCCCCCCAAACCCAATGGCGCACGGCCATCGGCGCCATTATCATCACACCGACAGCTACCATCCGTCCTTCTCCCCCTTCCCGGATTGTAGTGCTCCTTCAGGCATACAGGGAGCCAGGCATTCGCAATTTGGTCCATTTTTATCGGATCTCCACCTTACCCACCTGCAGTCAAGACTCATGTATCCGGGGCTTCGCTGCCACGATCATGTCAGTCCTGCACCAATCCCATCAAGAATCACCACTGACCTGACCATCGGGAGCTCACCGGCGCGCAACGGCGTCTCAACCACTCTGCCTGCCAGCGCCAAGAGGCCCAACGACGCCAAGCCGCCGGGGCTAGTGCTCTTCGGACAAACCATACTAACGGAGCAGCAGATGAGCCGTGGCGACTTGGCAGGCGTGAGCTCAGCCGCGGCCACCGGGAACAGCTCGCTCAACTGGAACACCGACAAAGCGGGCAATGCATCGCAGGGCTCGGGCTCTACTGTCGTTCAGAACAGTGGCTCGACTGATAACACATCGCCGGAGAGACCGCGGCGGTTTGGAGACAATAGCCACGTCTCCGAGCTCGGGTTGAAGCCCGGGCAATGCAAGGTGTTCGTCGAGTCAGATACCGTCGGCCGGAATCTCGATTGCTCGGCGATGAGCTCGTTCGAGGAGCTCTATGGCCGCCTGTCCGAGACGTTCTGCATTGAGGGTGCGGAGCTGAGGAGCCGTGTGCTCTACCGTGGCGCCGACGGTGAAGTGAAGCACGCCGGTGACGAGCCTTTCAGGTGAGAGCGAATCCCTCTCGTGTTAAACTTGCTACAAGTAAATACAGTAAGTTATAAATTATCAGAAATTCAGAATGGACCGGTTTTTAACTTGAACTGACGCACCACGCTTTAATTTCCTCTGCGTATTTCAGCGAGTTTATCAAGTCGGCACGGAGGCTTACCGTACTGACAGATGCTGGGAGCAACAACACGGCGAGCTAGATAACAGCAGCAGACAACCTTTGGGCGAGCATCGTTCGTCCATACTTAGTATTCATGCAGCTCAATGAGCTAGTATCTTGTTCTTTCAATTGATTTCGGAACCAGTTACCAGTATGGCATAGTAGCTTTCTTTCATCTAGTGCTCTTCGTGTCCAATGAGGCAGTTCAGTTCTCCTCGTGTAATCCATGTACTAGCATCCTTCTTGAAATTAGATGCATGTGGAGCAGTACTTGAATTCCCGGAGTACTACAATGCAAACCCTGCGATCATCCGGGGTCCGGAGACTTGAATGCCCCTCTCGGTCTCTCGGGCCGTCTGAGCGGCGCCCTGCCCGTGGCCAAGGGACAAGCTCGCTAGCTCCGCGGCAGCGGCGAGGCAAGGCCTCAGTGTCAGTGCAGTAATGCGTGCCGCTGCTGCCGCCTGCCGGGGTATCATTGCATACAGCGGTCTCTGACCCCGTGGCCTCGTCTCCAGGCGTTTCTCTGCGTGCCCGCATGCTCTGTTTGATGAGCTCATCCGTGAGGATTGAGTATCCTATCGTGTTGCGTATCCCGCTGCCTTTCGGGCATAAATGCTCCAGGCTCCCGTCCTCTTGCTCGCTCAGGGCGAGAAATTATTGCTTCTGTCGGTCTGACCTTGCTTAGCTGAGAAAGGATCGTCGCTCGAGGCCGACACCTCGTCTAGCAAGGGGGGAGGCACGGCACAATGCCCGGGCCAGCGCCAGAGGCGACTGCCTCTTTCACAAGAGTGTCACACGCACGTCACTGTTTGGTCCACAGGGTGCGCGTCCTCACCCGGTTGGGTTTTGTTGCTTTCCGCTGATATTTTGGCTCCTTTTGGACGGACACCTTGCTCGGATGCCTCGCTAGCTTGCTCCCTCTCTTACGATGCCGTTTTTCTTTCTTTCCTTTTGGCAAATCTTGCTATGCGGTTGAAAAATCGAAGAGTTAGTAAAGTTCGTCCATGACTGCCAGGAGTCGCATCGCATCGCTTTAGTTGCCGAGGTGAAAGGTGATTGCAACGCCAGAGTTGTTTGCTTTGTGTGGTTGGAGTACGCGGCTAAACCTGGGCAAACGTCGGGCCGGGCCGGGTTTCGGGCCGGGCTTGTAAAAGCCCGACCTTCATTTCTCAAGCCCGAGCCCGGCCCGAAGCCCGAAATACTCCATATTTTCAAGCCTGAGCCCGGCCTCAAGTCAAGCCCGAAGCCCGAAAGCCCGGCACGAATGCTATTTTTTAGTACGCGCACGTGCAAGCCCGACCCGAAGCCCGAAAGCCCGGCCCGAAATACGGGAAAATTGAAGCCCGAGCCCGGCCCGAACTATCTTTCGGGCTGCAAAACAAAGCCCGAGCCCGGCCCGAATGTCAAGCCCGGCCCGGGTTTTTCGGGCCGGGCTCGGCCGGGTCGTTGGGCCGGGCTGCCCATGCCCGGGTTTATACGCGGCATCCCCTGTGCTTTGTTTTGGGACAGGCCAGTACTACTAGGTGCCGGTCCGCCGGTCGAAAATTCGGCCGGTGCCACGCCAGCAGTCCGATTGGCCAGTGTGGGGGTGCAGTGGTCGCTGTTTTTGAGCATGTGAGTAACTAACGGTTGTTTGAGGGCTTTTATCCCTCCTTTAATATATAGTACGCACACTCGTGTGTATTTGAGGAAAAAAAGGTCCGTCTGATCCCGTACCCGTTCAGTCACGCATATACAACCAAAAAATCCCCTCTAGTGCCAACCGACACGGGACCTACCCGTCGTTGACGCTTGCGTGCGTTGCGTCGCTCCCTGCGTCGATGCTCCTCTCGGCATCCCACGCCCATCGAAAAACTCGTTGGCAGCCTCGATGGTCGTTGTTGCTCACCTCTTCAGTTCTTCTTCGTATGGGCATGAAAACAACAATGAACACGGTAGTAGCTGACAGTGACATGTACCTAGGGTAGGGTCCTAGCCCTGACCTATACGCCCTTCCCAAGGACATCACACATGGGGCTACGGCCTACAAAGTCAAACAGAAGATATTGACTGAAATCCTCTTCGAGTGCAATCCACTCGACAGACAATTCCACTCGGATGCCCCAATTCAGTTGACCATTGTCATCTCACTCAGAAGACAATAATCCACTCGAAAGACAGAAGGCCTAAGGTCACCTGTAGATAGCAATGGTCGGTCATTCACTCCGCTACCATAAAGATCATTAAATACGGGCATTACTGTTGGAAATATGCCCTAGAGGCAATAAAAAAATGGTTATTATTATATTTCCTTGTTCATGATAATTGTCTATCGTTCATGCTATAATTGTATTAACCGGAAACCGTAATACATGTGTGAATACATAGACTACAGCATGTCCCTAGTGAGCCTCTAGTTGACTAGCTCGTTGATCAATAGATGGTTATGGTTTCCTGACCATGGACATTGGATGTCATTGATGACGAGATCACATCATTAGGAGAATGATCTGATGGACAAGACCCAATCCTAACTGTAGCGCAAGATCGTGTAGTTCGTTTGCTAGAGCTTTTCTAATGTCAAGTATCTTTCTTGGACCATGAGATTGGTGCAACTCCCGGATACCGTAGGAATGCTTTGGGTGTATCAAACGCCACAACGTAACTGCATGACTATAAAGGTGCACTACAGGTATCTCTGAAAGTGTCTGTTGGGTTGGGACGAATCGAGACTGGGATTTGTTACTCCGTATGACAGAGAGGTATCTCTGGGCCCACTCGGTAATGCATCGTCATAATGAGCTCAATGTGACTAAGGAGTTAGTCACGGGATCATGAGTTACGGAATGAGTAAAGAGACTTGCCGGTAACGAGATTGAACGAGGTATGGGGATACCGATGATCGGATCTCGGGCAAGTAACATACCGCTGGACAAAGGGAATTGTATACGGGATTGATTGAATCCCCGACATCGTGGTTCATCCGATGAGATCATCGTGGAACATGTGGGAGCCAACATGGGTATCCAGATCCCGCTGTTGGTTATTGGCTGGAGAGATGTCTCGGTCATGTCTGCATGGTTCCTGAACCCGTAGGGTCTACACACTTAAGGTTCGGTGACGCTAGAGTTGTTATGGGAAATTGTATGTGGTTGCCGAAGGTTGTTCGGAGTCCCGGATGAGATCCCGGACGTTACGAGGAGTTCCGAAATAGTCCGGAGGTAAAGATTTATATATGGGAAGTCCAATTTCAGTCACCGAAATGGTTTCGGGGGTTATCGGTATTGTACCGGGACCACCGAAAGGTGTCCGGGGGTCCCCCGGGTGGGGCCACCTGCCCCGGGGGACTTAATGGGCTGAACAAGGGTGGGAACCAGCCCCTAGTGGGCTGGTGTGCCCCCCAAGGGCCCAAGGTGCCTAGGGTTGGAAACCCTAGGGGGTGGGGGCGCCTCCCACCAAACTTGGGGGGGGGGGAGAGGACAAGTCCCCCCTTGGCCGCCGCCCCCTCTTGTAGATGGGATCTAGGGGGGCCGGGCCCCTCTCCCCTTCCCCTATAAATAGTGAGTGGGGGAGGGCTTCCATACCCTTCCCCTGGCGCAGCCCCTCCCTCCTCCAACACCTCCTCCTCCGTAGAGCTTGGCGAAGCCCTGCAGGAAAACCACAAGCTCCACCACCACGCCGTCGTGCTGCCGGAACTCTCCCTCAACTTCTCCTCTCCTCTTGCTGGATCAAGAAGGAGGAGACGTCCTTGGGCTGTACGTGTGTTGAACACGGAGGCACCGTCCGTTCGCGCTAGATCGGATCTTCGGCGATTTGAATCGCCGCGAGTACGACTCCATCAACCGCGTTCTTCTAACGTTCCGCTTAGCGATCTTCAAGGGTATGAAGATGCACTCTCTCTCTCTCTCTCTCTCTCTCTCTCTCTCGTTGCTAGCATCTCCTTGGTGACACGTAGGAATTTTTTTGAATTATTACTACATTTCCCAACAATGGCATCATGAGCTAGGTCTATGTGTAGATTCTATGCATGAGTAGAACACAAGTAGTTGTGGGAGATGATTTATTCAATTTGCTTACCATTACTAGTCATATCTTGATTTGGTGGAATTGTGGGATGAAGCGGCCTGGACCGACCTTACACGTACGCTTACGTGAGACAGGTTCCACCGACTAACATGCACTTGTTGCATAAGGTGGCTAGCGGGTGTCTGTCTCTCCCACTTTAGTTGGACCAGATTCGATGAAAAGGGTCCTTATGAAGGGTAAATAACAATTGGCATATCACCGTTGTGGCTTTTGCGTAGGTAAGAAACGTTCTTGCTAGAAACCCTTAGCAGCCACGTAAAACATGCAACAACAATTAGAGGACGTTCAACTTGTTTTTGCAGGGTATGCTATGTGATGTGATATGGCCAAAAGGATGTGATGAATGATATATGTGATGTATGAGATTGATCATGTTCTTGTAATAGGAATCACGACTTGCATGTCGATGAGTATGACAACCGGCAGGAGCCATAGGAGTTGTCTTAATTTATTGTATGACCTGCGTGTCAATGAAAACGTCATGTAATTACTTTATTTTATTGCTAACCGCTAGCCATAGTAGTAGAAGTAATAGTTGGCGAGAGAACTTCATGAAGACACGATGATGGAGATCATGATGATGGAGATCATGGTGTCATGCCGGTGACGAAGGTGATCATGTCGCGCCTCAAAGATGGGGATCAAAGGCGCAAGATGATATTTGCCATATCATGTCACTTTATGATTTGCATGTGATGTTTGTCATGTTTACATCTTATTGCTTAGAACGACGGTAGCATAAATAAGATGATCCCTCACTAAAATTTCAAGAGATGTGTTTCCCCTAACCGTTGCAAAGGTTCGTTGTTTTGAAGCAGCACGTGATGATCGGGTGTGATAGATTCTAACGTCCGCATACAATGGGTGTAAGCCAGATTTACACATGCAAAACACTTAGTTGACTTGACGAGCCTAACATGTACAAACATGGCCTTGGAACACAAGAGACCGAAAGGTCGAACATGAGTCGTATAG